CGCCGGGGCTCGGGCCACCACTCGGACCCCTTCGCCGTGATTGGTGAGGCCGGGCGGGGGCGGGGGGCGGGGCCGGGGCGGGGCCCGCAGTCGTTGGGGTTCTGGCTGGGAGCGCCCTTCCCATCCGGGAGCCGTGGGGTCTCTGCTGTTCTCCCTCGTTTCCCGTCAGGTTCTTAGAACTCAGGCCTGGGGTATATGCGTGTGCCCTGGACCCAGTCCCCGGGACCTTTCTAAGAGCCCCTCAATCCCTGCTTAAAGCCTTCCAGGATCCCCACCACCCACAAGTTAGAAACCAGCTTCCCGGGCCTGGCACACCCCTGGGGCCGGCTCCTCCCCGCCTCCTCTCTCCTCCTGGACTCCTGATCCGCTCAGCCTCTCCCTGGCCTCCAGGCCTTCCCCGTTGGCTCCTTGCGAACAGGCAACCTTTGCCTGCCCCTACTGCCGCCTTCCGTCTCCTGAGGACACGTCCTCCGCAGTTCCCGGGAGGTCCCTGTATTCTCAGGCAGGGGCAAGGAGGGGTCTTAGGTCACCCTGGGGAACGGCAGGATCTGGCCTGGGAGCCTGTCGCCACCACCTGCTTCTTCTAAGTGTGTGCTTCCACCTGGGCCCTTCCATCCTCACAAACTGCAGGCAGGAAAGGAAATCTACATTCGATGTTTTGGTAGAAGGTATTGAGTAGGAACTGAAGTGCTTAGTCTTCCTTCCTTTCTTTCTTTCTTTCTCTTTTGAGCCTTCTGAGTAGCTAGGACTACTGGCATGTGCCACCATACCTGGCTTTTTTTTGTTGTTGTTGACACGGGGTCTCAGGCTGGTCTCCAACGCTTGGTCTCAAGTGATCCTCCTACCTCGGCCTCCCAAAGTGTTGAGATTATAGGTATGCGCCTAGAATCCAGCTGGAAGTGCCTATTTTTTGGTTGTTTTTTGAGTTAGGGTCTCACCCTGTCACCCAGGCTAGAGTGCAGTGGCACACTCACAGCCACTGCAGCTTCAGCCTGCTGGGTTCAAGCAGTCCTTCCACCTCAGCCTTCCAGGTGGCTGGAACTACAGGCACACATCAAAACGGCCGGTTAATTTTTTGATTTATTGTAGAGACAAGGTCTTGCCAAGTTGCCCAGGCTGGTCTCGAACCTCTGGGCTCAGGCAATCCTCTTGCCTCTACCTCCCAAAGTGCTGGGATTACAGGTGTGAGACACTGTGCCTGGCCTGGAAGTGCCTATTCTTATATTAAAAAGAGAGGCTGGTTTTGTATTTCTCACCCACCTCTGGGTTCGTTGTGAAACAGAGCAGGAGGAACCCTAGGTCCGCTGAGGCCTCTTTGAGACTCAGATAAGTTTGTCTTCAAGTCCAAAGGCTTCCCCAGGACTTCCAACCATTCTTGGGAGACTTACATCCTCATACCCTGCCTCCCAGTTCCTGGATTTGAGTGGGTGCTTCACCCGGACAGGAATGTGGCCCACCCCAGGATGCATATGTGGGTGCCATAGATTTGCCTCAAGATGGTTGTAGGGTTGCAGGGAGAAGCCACACCCATCTGAGCACTCAGGACTAAGGAGCAGTCCCCAAGCCTCCTAGCTTGCTGGCGCGCTCAACAGGGTCCCCTGCCTTCTCCCTTACCTTGTCCTTCGGCTCCTCCCTCCTCACCCTCCAGGATTGACTTGGGAGCCTCACATAGGCAGGCAGGCAGGCAGGCTAAAGAGGCTCCCAGGTCCCACCCCAACATATGGCAGGCCCAGCCCACCTGGTGCTCAGCAGACACTGCCTCTCCCGGACACTGCAGGGCCCCACCCCTCCAGGAGGCAGTTAGGGTTATAAAACAAATTGTTTTTCTGATACGTATGTCAGTACCCAGCACAGTGCCTGACACGCAGTGACCTTGGCCTCTTTTCCTTTCCTTTTCTTGGCGCTCTAGTTTTCAGTCAAGCAGTCCCTTCTGTGCCGGCATCCTTTCATAGCTGCTGTTTGCTGGGCAAGTGGGACTGAGCCCAGGAGTTCGATACCAGCCTGGGAAGGATGGCCTCTTCCCAGGCTGGACCATGGGCGGTGCATTCGTAGGCATCACCTCATTTGTTTTTTATTTATTTTAATTTTTTGAGTCACTCTGTCATCCAGGCTGGAGTGCAGTGGTCATCCAGGCTGGAGTGCAGTGGCACATTTATGGTCACCTCAACCTCCACCTGCTGGGTTCAAGTGATCCTTCTGCTTCAGCCTCCTGAGTAGCTGGGACTACCGGTGCCTGCCACCACACCCGGCTAATTTTTCATCTATTGTAGTGACAAAGTCTCACCATATTTCCCAGGCTGGTATCAAACTCCTGGACTCAGGCAATCCTCTCACCTCAGCCTCCTAAAGTGCTGGGATTACAGGCATGAGCCACCACGCCCAGAGACATCACCTCGTTTAACCTCACTTTATGAGGTGGTACTGTGATCCGTCCCACTTTGCAGATGGGGAAACAGGCTGCCGAGAGCAAGTAACTTGCCTGTAGTTACACAACTCATCCCTTTGGGGGAGCCACCACTTCCCCTCACTCTGCCTGCCCGCCCACATTTAGGGACCATCTTCCTGTGGATCTTCTGGCCTAGCTTCAACTCTGCGCCCACGACGCTGGGAGACGGGCAGCACCCGACGGCCCTCAACACATACTACTCCCTGACCGCGAGCACGCTCAGCACCTTCGCCTTGTCAGCCCTTGTCGGGGAAGATGGTCGACTGGACATGGTATGGGAGGAGGCCTTGGGAGAGGCGGAGGGCTGACTTAGGAGGGGGAGGAGAGGCCTGTGGCCCCGCCGGGAAGACTCTCCAGAGGAACGGGCAGGGGCACAAGCGTGGGGGCTTTGTCTGTACTGATGGTCGTGGGTCAGAGTGAGGGGAGCGGATATGATGGCTGGAGAGTTAGAGGTTAGCTGGCAGAGGGACTTCAGAAGCAGTAGGTGTCGCTGTGGTGGATGGGGTTGGGTGGAGTGTGGGTGTGATGATGCCTTGCACTTCCCTGTCCCCTTAGGTCCACATCCAGAACGCAGCACTGGCCGGAGGGGTTGTGGTGGGGACATCCAGCGAAATGATGCTGACGCCCTTTGGGGCCCTGGCAGCTGGCTTCTTGGCTGGGACTGTCTCCACGCTGGGGTACAAGTTCTTCACCGTACAGACGCCTCTGGGGCCCGGGCGGAACATGGCGTCTTCAGCTCCCCTCCCCGCCAACAGCCCCAGGGGGCGGGAGGGGGCACAGGAGACTCATGGCCTGTTCTGTCCTCCAGCCCACCCTTGAATCAAAATTCAAAGTCCAAGACACATGTGGTGTCCACAACCTCCACGGTATGCCCGGCGTCCTGGGGGCCCTCCTGGGGGTCCTTGTGGCTGGGCTGGCCACCCACGAAGCTTATGGAGATGGGTGAGTTTCCTCCAAAACACACACAGGCATGATCTCTCTGGAACACCCTCCCTCCCTCTCCTCTGTGGGCAGAAAAAAGCAATGTGTATTTTCATTCATTCATCCATCCATTCATATTCTGGGAGCCAAGGAAACGAGTTGAACATGACCAACCCAGTGACTTCCCTTCTGGTCCTCAGTCAAGTGCAGCAGAAGGTCATTGAACAATTAATTTCAAGAATATTAAATGTTACTGAAGAGTCAGTAAGAGGCTGAGCATGGTGGCTCGTCCCTACATTCCCAGTGCTTTGGGCGGCCGAGGCAAGATGATTACTTGAGCCTAGGAGCTTGAGACCAGCCTGGGCAACATAGTAAGGCTCTGTCTCTAAAAAACTTAAAAAAAAAAAAATAGCCCAGTGTGGTGGTATGCACCTGCAGTCTTTTTGGTTTTTTTTTGAGTTGGAGTCTCACTCTGTCGCTCAGACTGGAGTGCACTGGCCGCTCCCGGCCGCCACAGCCTCGACCTGCTGGACTCCGGCGATCCTTCCGCCTCAGCCTTCCAAGTAGCTGGAACTACAGGCGCGCACTATCATGTCCAGCTAATTTTTTGATTTATTGTAGAGATGAGGTCTCTCCAAGTTGCCCAGGCAGGTCTCGAACCCTCGGGTTCAGGCAATCCACTCACCTCGGCCTCCCAAA